TCACTTTCTATTTTATATCTGAGTTTTCATTGTGTGTAATAATTTCAAAATATTATTTAGAGGACTAAATATAGCTACTAAATCATTAGAATATAGATAAATTAACAATAATAAAGAAAATGGACAATTACAAAACTCATTAATTTTCTGTATTGACTTTAGCACCAGCTCTTAGTTCTAATGGGTGCTCCTGAATTCTTAGCATAAATAATTAGTGTAGGGAGGGTAATGGTTAACTGATTACGAATATGATGTAATACCCTTAGTGGCTACTATGGTTATGGATGATGCTGAGTCATTAGCTTTGCCTTTACTGTGTGTCAGTACATGAAAACACTTCTTTTATAAATTTCTAAAAATCATTTGCTTTAAAAGGTACTTTAAGGTTAACTGAAATATTTCAGCACTGTTTGCCAATTCATTTAAAAGACACAAAAGCTTTCAGGTCTCTACACAACTATACCCACACCTTTATTTTCATCATGGTTTGAACCAAATCATTTTTCTCCTCCTACTATCAAATATTCATCATGGTGACAATTCTCTAACAATTCAGAGATAAGATCTTGTGTAATATTTTTCAGAATTCATAACTAGTATGATAAAATACTTCTAAAACTCGAGATTTTCAGGTGTAAACTGAAGGCACATTTGAGTAGGTATGCTTATTTATAGTGCCATTCAGGTTGTTTTTAGCTTAACCTAGTTATAAGTTGCTCATTCTGTCTTTAAGAACTGGATATTTGGCTCAGCGCCTATAGCTCAACCAGCTAAGGTGCCAGCCACGTACACCTAAGGTGGCGGGTTCGAATCCCCAGCCCGGACCCGCCAAACAACAATGACGGCTGCAACCAAAAAATAGCCAGGCGTTGTGGCGGGCGCCTGTGGTCCCAGCTACTTGGGAGGCTGAGGCAGGAGACTCGCTTGAGCCCAGGAGTTGGAGGTTGCTGTGAGCTGTAATGCCACGGCACTCTACCCAGGGGGACAGCTTGAGGCTCTGTCTCAAAAAAAAAAAAAAGAACTGGATATTTGTGTATAAAAAAAATTACAGAATTAGCATGATTTCCACAATACACAAGTAACCATGACCAAAGTTAAAGCTAAAATGGAGTCAGGAATTCCATTCATTCTCTTTTGAAATTTAAGTCGTATTTATACATATTCTTAGTTTATTAAGTTAAATACATGTTTGAAACTGTTGGAAAATATAATGTATTTTCGTCCTCCTTTAAACTAACGCAATTCTGTGTGTATATATATATTTTTTTCAAATAAGCCAACTTATTTTAATTGTCTATGTTATGAACTTATTTTGCAAAGTTATTTACCAATTAATGAGAAATGAATGTTATGTAAATGTTAATCTCTACAGTCACAGTTAATTGATGAACTCTTCCTATAGATATGTTTCACCCTGCTACACATTCATATTAACACATATATGTGTATATATTGTGTATAATATATCTATGTATTTAAAACATAGTAAGTAAATATATCCAGATTAGTTTACTAGCTGTTTTACATTAAGTATTTAAATACCTTTAAAATCTATTCTAAAAGTATATTCTATTGTTAAAATACTTTTCAAAGAAGTGAAAGGAATTGTGTTATATTAAAAACACAGGTATTTGTGCTATTTGATCATTTAAAGGTGTTTGTGTAAGATTACTTTAATAATGGTATGTATGTGTGTTGTGAGTGATCAGAAAACAGCCTGTGCATCCTTGTTACAGTTATGGCTACCTGACAACTTTGTTCAAGAATTAGCATAGCAACTAAAAGTATCGTATTAAACTCTCTTGCACCCTCTGTTGTTATTTTAGAGGAACACTACACATCCATTCCAGTGATTGTATTGTCATTATATGTATTTGAATTCCTGATAAAATTAATACTTATTTTATTGTACTTTCTACATATTCGATTGTATAGTAATGCAACATTTGCTTGTAACTCTTTGTTGGTGTTTTTCTGTGTTATAGATATGTTTTTTTCACCTTATAGCTTAAATGAAAGATGAGCCTTTCTGTTTGTTTCTCCTAGTTACCAGTTTAAGGCTCCCCACTCCAAATGTTTCACACAAATGAAAATCTCTACAGGATATAGCACATTGTATATATAATTTCGCAAAATTACAGATTCTGTCTGTTCTTTTGTAAACCTTTCAATAGTCAGACAGTCTCCTTCCAAAATAAGAGTCTGGAATCGTCCATACTAAAATTAAGAATTTATAACTGTAAGGAACAGATGTTTTCATAAACATTTGCTATAATTAATTTCAACTAGAGGATTGAGGGAACAAAGCGTTTTTCCCGCTTCAAAACTTTATTGCCTTTTCCCCACATACAAACTCTGAAATCTTTTCTCTAACATTGTTAGTGAAACAGTTGTACTCCTTATATGGTATGTTTTTGAGAAAGAAAAACTGCTTTTTTCCCTCCCTCTTTATCAGGTTTTGCACCTTGAAAGCTATATTTAATGTAATATTTTCATTTGGAAACAGTTATAAACTGAAGGAAACCTTTGTAATATCTTAACAATAAAACCTGGTTATTTAAAAATCTAAGTCTCTTAATTATTTGAAGGATTTTACATACCATCTGATAAGTATCAGCTTAAAGAAATATTCTGTTGGTGAGATTTGTATATTTAATCATAATCTTTAGTTTTAAGGGGAAGGAGGGCTTATATTTTTAATGTATAATATAGTGCTTATTCTATACTGATTACAGAATGTTTCACAGAAAATGTCTGCAAGCTGTTAAATAACATGTGCTGTAAGAAATTTTCCTTTAGCAAGACAGATACTAATTTTCATTAATCTTTTAAGCTTGCTATAATACTAATTTTTAAAAGAAAATGAAATGTGTTTCATATGTAATCTTAAAGTATTCATGTTTCCAAAGAATTAACAGATTAGATTAATTTTAAATATTTAAATGATTTTTCTTTACTTCTATAAATTATCACTATTTTTGAGTGATGTTACCCATTTTTAGGACTATTCTTTCAAAACACAAATAAAAAACCTATAAGTGTGTTGTAAGGAATGAGCAGAGCTAAAAATTTATTATGTGGGCTAGTCTGGTTCTCAATTTTCTGAACACTTTGGTGCACCTCCACATATCTCACCAATCTCCTAAAGAGAGCCAATGTTCTGTACTAACCTATGAACTATAAAATGCTTAAAGAAAAATAGGTGGCTGTCATTAAGATTACATTTCAGCTCTCAGTAGCCATTTCATGAGTACAGAAGTATATAATTATATAAGTATGTTACCTTAAGTACTACACTCAATAATTAAAAATAATCTCATCTTTAAAGTGTAAGCTCTGAAATTACTATTTGACTTAACTAGGGCCACTATGATGATTTCTAGTGGTACTCTAGATTGTTCAAAGTGGATTAAAAGTATAAATTAAAATTGGATGAATCATTAAATTATTAAGCTATAAATATTTTTAAAATGAATATAATTTGATGTTTGAAAGTTACATTATAGAAATTAGGGGTATAAAATGTAATCAGATTCTAGTCTTAGAATTTATTTTGAGGATAAATAATATCTTAATAGTATACTATGATTTAGTAAAAATTACTTTGAAGTATATAGTTAGAAAATTAAACTTAAATTTCTATTAATAAGAATATATTTTATATCAGGGCATTTATTTTGTGGTCATGTGACTTTATTCTAAATTTCATTTTGTGAATATGACAGTGTTTTGAATGAAAATGTTTTTTTGGGGTCGGCGCCTATAGCTCAACCGGCTAAGGCGCCAGCCACGTACACCTAAGGTGGTGGGTTCAAATCCCCAGCCCAGACCCGCCAAACAACAATGACGGCTGCAACCAAGGAATGGCCGGGTGCTGTGGTGGGCGCCTGTGGTCCCAGCTACTTGGGAGGCGGAGGCAGGAGACTCGCTTGAGCCCAGGAGTTGGAGGTTGCTGTGAGCTGTAATGCCACGGCACTCTACCCGGGGGACAGCTTGAGGCTCTGTCTCAGAAAAAAAAAAAAAAAGAAAAGAAAATGTTTTTTTTTGGCTCGGCGCCTGTGGCTCAAGTGGCTAAGGCGCCAGCCACATACACCTAAGGTGGCGGGTTCGAATCCAGCCTGGGCCCGCCAAACAACACTGATGGCTGCAACCAAAAAATAGCTGGGCGTTGTTGTGGGCGCCTGTGGTCCTAGCTACTTAGGAGGCTGAGGCAGGAGATTCGCTTGAGCCCAGGAGTTGGAGGTTGCTGTGAGTTGTGATGCCACAGCACTCTACCCAGGGGGGACAGCTTGAGGCTCTGTCTCAAAAAAAAAAAAAGAAAAAGAAAATGTTTTTTGTTTTTTTTTTCTAGTTGTACTGTTACAGGAGGCACAAACATATGTGGTGTTGTTGCTCTTTCATGTTTTAAATTGCTGAACTTTGGACAGTTAAAGTTTGATGAAGAAATATTAAAGTGTAATAAAAGTTTATTAAAATGTGTTCTCGATCACCACCTCCCAGGTCTGCTTTCTGTTTTACTTGTCTGCTTTCTAATTCCTAGAGAGTGGCAAACTAAGAGTTGGTAAATCTTCCAGGTCTGCTCTGTACCTGCTTTCTTTTGGCTATATTGTTGATCAGGATTGGTGATTTGATTGCTACCAAAAACTTGCCTTCATTTATAAATATTAATGTATGCTTAGGTGGTTTATAAATTTAAGTTTTATCTGTGATTCATAAGAAGAAAATGTCTACTATACTTTATTTGTTCCTGTTAGCAATTACTTTGGTAGTATTACTATCTAGTTTGGGAATAGTAGTGTTGGGTTGTATTTTGGCATCAAAATTATTTTTTTGCCTAAAAAACTTTGAATAAACAAAATGAGTTGGGGAAGAGGTGATGAAATACCTGTGTATGCTTTTCGCCGAACGTGTTGCATCGAGCTGTCACATAGTAGTATTTCAACTAAAATATTCAGTTTCATTGTCTCCATTATTTAAACATTTTAAATTTTCTTTTCCAGGAGATTCAAATAAAAATGGAAGACGAACAAGTTCTACTTTAGACTGTGAGGGGACTTTTAATTCCTATAGGTAGGTGATGAATACATAGATACGTAATATAAAATAATGTATAAGAAACATAATCATACAGGATTCTAATCTTAGAATAATAAGGAACCACTAGGCCTTAAAAATTAGATAAATGTAAAGAATATTGTGTTGTGTGATTATAGACATAAAGAGTCACAGAAATTTAGCATCCTAAATTCTTGAGTAAATGAACTTATTACAAATACCTGTTGTTATCCTACAGTAGGATAATTGGAATGAATGCACGTTTATTATTAAGCTTCATTATGATCCATTTTGTGGATCATTATGATACATTTTTTTCAGTATATCTGTTATAGTACTCAAGCTTCTTTTTAAGTTTCTTGCTAAAACAAGAGAACTGCTGACAAGTGCCTAAGAGAGCTTATAATGTAATTCATAGTTGAATTAAGGGCTGTTTATTAATATCCTGCTTTAGTTTTTCAGTCAATAGGGTAGTTACATCTCAATGAGTCCTTTTTTTTTTAAAGGTTACATTAGTTAAGAAAATATATATTTTATCTAGTTCTTTGTTAATAATCTCCTCATGATTTGAATTTTATAAGAGTAAATGTTTATGTTCAGAGAATCCCAGAAAGATGGAAGATTAAAAGTATTTTCAGTAATATTTGAAAATCTGTATACTAAAACAAAAATGGTGTAAGAAATCAGTTTGTTTCTTTTAGGAAAATAAATAAAGATTCAGTAATAACAGATTTTAACATTTTAGGTAGCAATGCAGATTCCTGAAGAAATACTTTAATTGAGCTACATTGTCCTTATGGTTAATTAGTTGTGATACTTGTGTCACAACACTCCAAAATATAGGCAAGAACAACAGTACACTTGAAGACTCATTTGAATATTAAACTATGTCTCTTTTTCTATAATAAATATGGAATTATGTTAAGATTATTTATATTTTTATTCATCTACATACTGTATATCCTTAATTGGACCTGTATCATTTATTTCTTTAGTTTTCAGGCAGGTTTTTCCATATAAAGAAGGGACATTATATAGGAGGTACTTAATACGAATGTGGTAAATGATAAAATTTTTATAATTTGTTTATGAATTTTAGGAATGAGACAGTAATTGAAACACTTGACATCTTTATTTTATGCCAGTTGGGGTCTGTATAAATAATCAGTCATTCAAGTGTCACAGATACTACAAAAAGCTTATGTTCCCCTGGTGTTCTGGAAGAGTATTATCACAGCAATAAAGCTCATGTGTTGTCACTATATTTTCACTGTACCCATCCTACCTTATAAATGTTAGAATTCTCCAAATCTTTCTTTTAGTTAGTCCCAAAGTGTAATATAAAGCTTGCATTTGGCATGTTAAGTAAAAAGTAGAATCCCTTATCTGAACATGTCAAAACTTATCATAGTGATAAACAAAAAAAGTGAATATGAAATATAGTTGAATAGTCAAGATTTAGCATGTAACTGAGGAATGTTAATATGATAATATACATGAAATCTATGATGATGATATTATAAAGTATAAATATAGTAAAAAATAACCAAGAGAAAAGGGGAAAAGGCTATACTTTAAAGAAAAGAAATCCCTTTATTTGTGTATAATTTTGTTGGTGAATTATATTTTACAATTAACATTTCTGGTTTAGTTAATTATGCTAAATAATGGGCATATTATATGAAGTTAATAAAAGTATTTTAATGTGAAGACATAGTTTTATCTTGTAGTTTATTTTGTTCTAGAATAGTTTGAAGATTAAAGTATCAGTATTATTGAATGATAATTGTATTTTGAAAATGAACTCCTAATACCTTTGCACAATAAATACTAGTGTTAACTAAATATTTTTAATTAATGCCTGTCACTGTGTGATGTTAGAATATTAATTTATTGTTATAATTAAAAAGGCAAGATAAAAAGCTCAGGTAGTATAGTATGTAAAAGTAGGCTTTTAGTAGTTGGCAGGCCAGCATTGCTATTAAATAGTATTACAGTATTTAAGGTGAGAAATGAATATTTTTTCTACTTAGTAGGCAATAGTGCTTATAATGAGCTTACTTGTGAATTTGACACTTGGGTGAAATGTAGAATTCATAGAAGCACAGCTCTGGGGTATATTTTCATATTAAGGTTAACTGACAAAACCTAGAAATTGTTGCAGAATCACATTTAAATGGCAACAGTATTATTAGTCAGATTTACTTCTGAAAATGAAAATTATTTTTCTCTTGCCAGTTTAGCTCTTTCAAACTAACTAGAAGAATGTACACGTATCAACTCTCAAACATACTTTTGTATTATTTAAACTACCTGAAAGTCCTTTCCTTTATTCACAGATAACTCAGAACTTAATTCTTATACCAACATACTCAAGCTGTACAAACTTATATCCAGGATTAAGATTACCTTTAGTTCTTCATCTGCAAAATGGGCATTATACTGTCTAGCCTGTTTTCTTCCTGAAACTGTTTTAAAGACTGAGGTAAAATGTATAAAATACAGCCTTTTGAACATCTAAATGCAAAACCATGGCATTCGTTCTTTTGTGCTCATTTCATGTAAATTAGTAACTGTTGCCTATGTTCAGCCTCTAATGCTTGTGCCCTGCAATAGCATATGCTGAGATTTTATAAAGTTTTGAATTCAGTCTTGAATTGGTCACCCAAATCTATATTCTTTTCATTATTTATAATACTATTAGATTGTGAGTTTCAAGGGGAAATAGTCTGGGTTTATGTTTGTTTGTTGAAATATTTAACTATAGTATGCTGTTTCAAATCCTCATTCTAAGTACTTTGACTACTTTGGACAAGACTTAGCTTTAAAGTATAGTTGATAATACAATACAGTTGACATGTACTTTGCCAAATAAGTTAGTGAGATAATGTCACATGGTAAATGCTGAATAAATCTGTGGTACCCGTTGCTTGTCATCACTATTAACGTTTTGGTATTGTAGAAATTTTTATAGTGCTCTAATATGGACACCAAAAGAAAAAGAAAAAATATATATCTTACAGGAAAATAACTTTTTATCTATTAGCTGAAAGGAAGCTAAGAACAAGGTTAACCTGGGCCTTAAAACTCTAAATCTGTGTTACAGTATTCCAAGTGAGACACCGGGTAAAAATGAAGGGAAGATGTTTTCCTGTTAGTGTAAGTTCAGAGCTGAATCTCTTTAACTTTGAGAAATAAATTTTGATATTTAAAATCAATGGACCCTAACTGTCACTTTATATGCCTAATGCTCATAGACCTATTTTTTTTATAGTCTAGGAGGTTTTACTTTGGATTTTTCTTCTTTTGTGGTTTTGCTTCATTGATTAAGATACAGCACAGCTGCATTTAACTCCTAAGGCACCAGTATGATTATGATGTATGCTCGATTAATAGACCAGATCTTGTTTTGGAAATTTTGGTTTAAATTTGATTGTACATCTCTCAACTACTTTGCAGATGAGGTGACAAATGGGAAAATTATGAGCATTGAGAAGATATTATTGACTTTATGAAATAATGTCTTTTACTTTTTAAAGAACAATGTTAACATTTTCTACCACATTATATGAACTTTTTTTATTTCTTATCTAACTATTAAAACTGAGAGAACTTTGATGGATATGACAGAAGAGGTTTCCTGTTTATCAGTTTTTTGCAGATGTTTAACTTAGTGATTGTAAGTTAGGGCCACCAGTCCCCTCCTCTTCCCAAGGGCAACTGACCTTCTCCTCACCAAAAGAGGCAAGCCCCTTGCCAGCACATATGACTACAGACTATTACATTAATCTGTTTAGCTGTAGTACCAGCTGCTTGCATGTTTTTAATTATCTTATTAGATGGTATAACAGTGACCTATGAAATAAATTGAAGGTGAACATTTTTAAACTTTCATTTTATTACTTTGGGTTTCTAAATATCTTTCTGATTAAAGTATAACTTTACACAAAAGTTTGCAGGAAGTCTGTATGATTTTTGAGTCAACATAATGCTTTTCTTTTTTTTCAGAGTTTTAAAGTATAGTCTCCTGATTCTTAATATAAGAAATAACTTCTTTTTTGCCTCATTTACTGATAAGGTTTAAGCTGTACTTACATAGCCAAAAATATGTGGTAAACTTGCTTAATAGTAACTAGAGTTAGAGAAAACTGCTACCAGTTATTTGGCATTCTCAGGAAAACTCAGAATATTACATAATTTTTATACATCCTCCTGGCATTGTATAAATAGCATAATATAGAATATAAATCATTGTAGATTGTTTTAAAATAAATTTGTAATTCTGTTTAACTCTCATTTTCTAGATTCCATAATACTGTAATAAATTATCTAGTTTACTCTTAAGTATTTTTTCCAACTAAATGTCATGTGACACCATTTATGAATGTGTTTTCCCAAGCTGCGCTGTTAGGAAAAATGTACTATCCTCTGGTTCTTGACAATTGGATACTTTTCAAATAATCATTCGTAAATACAATGTTGACTCCAAGAGACACAATTCAGAATAACAAAAACCAATGTTTTGCTCAGTTAGAAGTCACTGCCAATAAACTGAAGATTATAATAATTTAGTTAGGAACCCTGATGTTGAATTAAAAAAACAAAAATTACTTGGATTCAAAAAAGATTGCAAAATACTTCTGTCTATCTTTACAGTTAATAAAACCTACAGCTGAGATGGTAGAATAACTTGAGACTTTAAAATTTAAAAAGACTTGAATACTTATAAACCTTAATCATTTGTTTTATTAAAGAAAATATTTGAATTTTTTAGCTTTTTTCTCTGAAGAAATACTGTATTTCATATTTCACAAGAACTTCCATGGAAGAAATAAAGGGAAATTTTTCCCTTTATATATTTTGTTTTATTCCTATAAAGGAAAAACAAAAAAAGGACATTTGGTTCTAAAGAACAGTGTTCTAATTTCTTTGTATTGATTAGAACTTCCAAAGTTGCCTTGCTTTCTCAATATGGTATGTTCTATTTACTATATATCGCTCACTAAGTAGAAGGC